GAAAAAAAAAAAAAACAAAACAAAAAACAAAACAAAAACACAAAGAAAAAGAACTAGCACAAGTAACAAAAATCTCGTACGTAATGGTAACTTTCAACTAAAAACAAATATCTTACTCCAAAAGCAAACAGAATAAGTACAATTAGTAAAAAGGTACTTTCCAACTAAACTAAACCAAATCTCTAACTCCAAAATCAAATAGAATAAGTACAAGAAATGACAAGAACTACCACAACTAAGTAAAACACATCTCTAATGATCTTTAGATACCAAGTATTCATCCACCACTTTTATAAATTCCAACATTAAACCCAAGCAATAGTAATCTTTATCTAGTCATAGTCATCTCCTAATCCTCTTTTCAACTCATGATCATTTAGTTAACCAGACATTGCAGGTAACACAACAGTTTCACATGTCAGGCAGACGGTAGACACAAGTGCTGAACAACAGGTTCACATGTCAGGCAGACGGTAGACACAAGTGCTGAACAACAGGTTCACATGTCAGGCAGACGGTAGACACAAGTGCTGAACAACAGGTTCACATGTCACGCAGACGGTAGACTCAAGTGCGGTCTCGTACTTGAGAGATGATAGAATACTCCATTTCACTGGTCAAAAGATAGAATGTGGCATTCCAAGACGAAAGCAGTAAGTCCCTGCAATATCTGAGAATGTGCCATTCCACAGCGAAAGTCACACGTTCCTGCACAAACTCTCAACCTTATTGGCACCAGAATTAAGGTTCCGTTTGTTGAAAATCACCAAATTGCCACTCCCTGGCATCCTGCTCTCTGAAGAACAAAAAAATAAAAGACGAATAATTACAGAGAAGACTCTGAAATACAGTCTAACTACAGAGTAACCCTGCAGTCTTCCCACATCCACAGATACCAACATTTATTATACAAACTACACCATCTGTGGAATGCGTTTGCTTGTAATACATTAAGGGTCATTCTCAAAATCATCCCAAAAAGTCTTTCTATTTTTCTTGAGTAAAAAAATCATAAATTACACAGGCAAAGAACCTTTGACTGATGCCTGCACAAACGACCCAATCACTGGGCGACCGAGAATATCAAGCATCCATTATCCCAACGTACTCTGACCTCTCTCCCCACCTGCAGCCGTTTTTCCCTAATTATCTTACCCCATTTACCGATCAAGTTATAATAACTTCCCCTCCACTTAAGCTTCATCACATACAACTCCCCTGTATCACCATCCTGTGCATTCAAGCCCACCTGCCTATCATTTCTCAGCTGCTCCCTCGCCTGGTGGCTCCAGTAGAACAGAATGTGATCTTCGACTGCTTTTCCAGGCAGAGTCAAGAACGGGTGGTTGATATCCACATCAGACAGTGTGAGGGCCTTCCGAACAGGCCAGCTGTCCCCGCCCGGATCGTTGCAACCTACATCTGCTGCCGAGAGGTAGAGGCAGCCGTTCATCCACCGCAGCCGAATCTCCTGCCCGACTACGAGTCCCCTGTGCCGGACTATGTTCCCCCACTTCCCGATGAGGTTGTAGTAGTTCCCGTGCCACCTCAGCTTCATCTCGTGCGTGTCCCCCGTGTCGTAGTCCCGTGCATTTATGCACACGTGCTCCTCCTTCCGTAGCCTCTCCCTCTCCTGTGGGGCCCACTGCACGAGAATGTGATCCTCGACCGATTTACGGGGCAAGGGGAGGAACGGGTGGGTGGGGTCCACGTCAGACGAGGTCAGGACCTTCCGGATGGGCCAGTGGTCGTAGATTATGGGTGGGGGGGCAGCTGGGATCATCCGCAGGGGCGGGATGGGGACAGGTGGCGCCGGTAGAGCAAGTGGGGGAGGAGGAGGAGGAGGAGGAGGAGGGCCGGCCAGGCGCTGCTGGGAGACGGAAAAGTAGAGGCAGGAGTTGAACCAGCGGAGGCGAATCTCCTGGCCCACGTCGAGGCCCTTGCCGCGGACAATCTTTCCCCATTTGCCGATGAGGTTATAGTAGCTCCCGCGCCACTTGAGCTTCATGGCATAGGCGTCACCTGTGTCGTCGTCGTAGGCATCAAGGCCAGCCTGGCCCTCGGCTTGGAGGTGCGCCTTCTGCTGGGGAGTCATGTGCATTACAATGTGGGTCTCCACCTGCTGACGTGGCAGCGTGAGGAAGGGGTGGGTGATGTCAACGTCGGATAGAGTGAGGGCTTTACGGATGGGCCAGAGGTCGGGCACCTCCGGCATGGTGTTGAAGTACTTTGTTCTTTTCATTCCCTGAACGACGAAAGATAACTAAGAAAAAAAAAGGATAAGTCATAATATTTAGGAAATTTTTATTGTAAGAAGAATAAATGGCACGATATGTCGGAAAAACAGGACAAAAGTTTACCGAGGAAGTTACTCAGAGCATGCAGCGTTCCAAAGCAATTATGGGACTCAAATTTCCAGAGCATGCATAAAATCTATTACTTCAAAAGGACAAGAGAATGTTTCAATGAACATTGCTGACATTCGTCAAACGAACAAATGGGCACTACAACAAATTTGTCATATTCCAACGGAAAATCCAACGGTAAAATATTCCAATGGATATTCCAAATGATATAGATTCCATTGGAATGATTACAACGGAAATTCCAACAAAAATATTCATTTGGAATGAGTTTTCCACTCGAATTTTAGATGGAATTTGATGATAGCAACAGTTTAGTACCTTGGAAAATCTACGATTGGAATTGTCAAAATCCAACAGAAATTCTAACTAAAAACTCATTCCAATGAAACATTTTTTTACAAAATTTCCGTTGGAATCCATTGAAAATTCCAACGAAAATAATAGCACTTGTTTAAATTGCAGTTAGAATTCCATTGAAATATATTTCCGTTGGAATTTCATCATTTTCTTGCAGTGCGAGCCATTTATATATCTATTGGCTTGTGTTTATGCTTTCAAATACTAGAACCATGTTCCCTAACAGCAAACAAGTCAGGAACCCCATATCAAATCGGAAGAAGTAATTCTAATCTCTAGTAACATAGTGCTAACAAATGCTAGAACAGTGAGAAACCATCATCAACCACCACATGCTCACAATTCTAAGATCGATATGCCGTTTTCGCCCAAACAAGCAGTTTGAGACTCTCATTCACTTAAATATGAAAAGCTTAACTCAACTAAATCAATAATATAGCAGAAACGAAATCCCCCAATCTCATTTCACATAGGTATAGGCTGAAAGATCTCTATATGCCTTCAATTCGATAAATTAACAAAAAAAAAAAAAAAGAAACATAATTATTTCAGAAAAAACCCACCATAAATCAAAACCCTAAATACTTCAAAATCTATAAGCACACCAAAAACAATACTGCATCCATAGTTCCGGACAATCATTCCTATTCAATTCCATACACAGTTCTTATAATATTTATCAGCCACGCAAACACACTGACATAGATAAAAGATCAAATATTCATTAGTTACCTGTAAATATCAAATTTAAATCCTCGAAACTTCGTGCGTAAAATTCTCCAGCTGATCACAACAAGAGGAAAATACCTAGATCCCCCAAAGCTGAGGCAAAAATTTTACCAATCGAAACCTAGAAAAAGACAAAAGAAATCTAATTTCTAGGAAAAATATGATGAGGATGTCATCGAGAACACACATAAATAATTGTGGAGTTCAAAAGGTTTGTGGAGGTTAAACAAGAAAGAGGACCAGAAAGAAGAAGTGATTAATGAAAAACATATGTAGCACACGGCGGTGGGTGCAGCGGCGGTCTGGTGGTGGTAGAAGAAGAGTCATGTTGTAGGTTTATGAGGTGGAGAAGCCAAATATCGAGCGAGATGCATTTCCGTAGGCTTATGTTATATTTGTTAACCGAATAAGTTAGCTTAAATTTAATCACTTTTCACGATTTTGCAATTTAATTACCACTTTTGCAATTTAGCAATTTAATACACAACTTTGACTATTTTTTGTAATTCGAATCATAGAGCCGAATTTCGGGCTTTTTGTGCTAATGTGACAGTTTACGGCTGACGTGTCATTCAGTGTGTCAATGACATGACTTAATTTAGCAATTTAATACACAATTTTGACTATTTTTTGCAATTCGAATCATAGGGCCGAATTTCGGGCTTTTTGTGCTAATGTGGCAGTTTACGGCTGACGTGGCATTCAGTGTGCCAATAACATGACTTTTTTTGGTCAAGAGATTCGAACCTTAAACCTTGAGGTTGTATTGCAGTTCCACAACCATCACACCAATCCAATTTAGTTGATAAATTTGGCCGCGTTTTATATATATAGACATTACCTGTGAATAAATAAAATTATATATTAAATTTAAATAAATTAAATATATTAAATTAAATATATATATATAATTGCTTTATTATTTTTTTATTTATTTTTTATTTTTTTTGTCAAAATTCAAACTTCAAACACATTTGTAGCACAAAATATCGTGCAAGAGGAATCTCTATGATATTAAAAAATAATAAAAAATTATTTTTTTATATTCATTTTTTTTATTATTTTTTATATAACTACAATACATTTTATGATAATTTTTTTATTATTATTTTTAATTATTTTTTATATTTATTTTTTTATTATTTTTTATTTATTTTTTATAATTTAATTTATTAATATTTTATTTTAATATTTTTATTAATTTTTGTTTATTTAGTATAATTTAATTTATTAGAATTTATATTTTATTAATTTAATTTAATATAATTTGTGTTATCATTTAAATTTAATTTATTTTATTAATTCGATTTATTTAATTTAATATATTTAATTTATTTAAATTTAATATATTATCATTTAATGTATTTTATTAATTTTATTTATTCATAGGTAATGTCTATATATATAAAACGCGGCCAAATTTATCAACTAAATTGGATTGGTGTGGTGGTTGTGGAACTACAATACAACCTAAATGTTTAAGGTTTGAATCTCTTGACCAACACTTTTTTTTTATTCTAATTAACATGCAGGACGCTCTGTCAGCAAAAAAAGTCATGTCATTGACACACTGAATGCCACGTCAGCCGTAAACTGCCACATTAGCACAAAAAAGCCCAAAATTCGGCCCTATGCTTCGAATTGCAAAAAATAGTCAAAGTTGTGTATTAAATTGCTAAATTACAAAGGTGGTGATTAAATTGCAAAACCGTGAAAGGTGGTGTATTATTATGCAATTTTGCCATATAATTAGCTTATAAGATTAGGCATGGCCAAAACCACGACCCGGCCTGGCCCGTCAGGTCGCCGAGCTCGAAAATAATGACCTGGACCCCGCACAGACTTATACTCGTATCGGGTCAATGGCTCGATTGTGTCGGGACCGTGTTCGGGCCGATTCTGTCATTTTTTTTAAAAACAATAGGAAAAAATATAAAATAAAATAAAAAAAGCGGGTCATCGACTCGGCCCGGCCCGGGCCCACCGAGCCGGGTCATGAAATGGATGACCCTGACACGACCCTTCAGAAATCTAGTCCGGGCCCGGACCCGTGGTCAACGAGTTTGACCGGACCGGGCGGCCCTTGGCATGTCTATATAAGATATTTAATTTTCTTATAAGATTTATGTATTTAATAAGTTCGGTTTGGTAGTTAAAAAGTTCAAGTTTATCTCATAAGCTTTTTTGGTAGATTTTTAAATAAGCTTGTTGATGTTTTCAACTCAACTAATTTACCAAACACTTTTATCAGATAATATAACTTTTAGCCATAAGTATCAGCTAAGCTATAAGCTCAAAAATCACTAAATAGGGGATGCTTGGATATAAACTTTTTTGGATTTGTTTAGATTTTTTCGTTTTGGGTTGGTTAATTTGAAAGAGTAGTATAGTTAGTTGTTAGTGGGTATATTAAAATAATTTTTAAAATATAATAATTAAAGTTGATTTGATGTAAAAGTAGAAGAGAGATGATTTGAAGTGATGATTAGTTAAAATTATGTGAGTTGATGAATAATGAATTAAGGTTGATGTGATTGATATTATTTAGTTATATCAATAATATTAATGACAGTGGAGTGGTGTTAAAGTTGAGTTAAAAGAAGTGGTTGAGTTAAAAATATTTGGATTTTTTGGATAACTTTTGTATCCAAGCATACTAATAAGCTAGAAGTTAACTTATGAGGTACCAGCTAACTTATTAGTTAGTTTTACCAAACATAACCTTAATTCATCTTCTTTCTTCTTTCTTCTTCTTCTTCTTCTTCTTTTTGTTTTCAGAAATGATAAAATTATAAGTAAACACATATTTACATTTCAAAATATAACAACCGACTCAAGCAGCTGTACAATTGAATCCAGTATAAGGACTATCCAACGCTAGTCTAAAAACTCCCACGAGTGGAAAATATAAGCTCCTACACTGGAGAGCAAAATCACAAAACAACACAACACAGATTCTTTCGATTAACCACATTCTTTGGATAAATGAAATTTTTACTCTGAATTAGTACGTAACCCGCGCGATATATGAGCGAGTCGTTTCAAGTTAAAGTTGTGATCAAGAAGTTTGAAAATACTTCAAGAAGTATCTTAAATATAAGAGGAAACAAATAAGTGTTGAAGACCTAGTTGTTCGTTTTCATATTGAGGACAACTGTAGGAAGCTGAACCATAAGATGAAGGACTGTAGAAACCTAAAAATGAGCAAAAATGAGACAGTAAGTGCTCACATTGTTGAACTTGACCATGTTTATTGTGAACTTACTTACTTTGATATGCCGTAGGCATGTTTGAAGTCAATTCGATACATACCATCAGGAGCGGTACATTTATACTAATGTCACTAACCATATCTGTTCTGAGAATGAGTTGTTTTCCAACCATACTTGTTGTAGTTGTTTTTACCAGAGTTAATCTCAACAAACCATCCCAAGTAGTATCTCAAGAAAGTCTAGCTAAAATACTTTTGCAAATATATGCTACCGGAGATAATATTAAACCCTAAACATTCTAATTCGGATGGATTGATTTTTGTTCTAAAAACTAATGATTCCAAGAAAAATAAACAATTCGATTTTCAATTCGCAAACTATTAACAAATACTAGCAAAAGAAGCTAAAGAGTTAAGAATAATCATTTCTTATTCTAAATGTAAATACCAAACACATGAATATTCAACTTAAAGGTTCGATTAATCTACACATCTACAGATTTATCCACAATAATTATTCGTAACATGCGAACAAACATAAACAGATAACAGATAGAAAACACAATTACAAACAAGTTT